TTGGAGAAAACTGGTGAGCGGCCTATGCTCCATTGGGGGTAATAGGCGTAAGTAAGTAAGTAAGTAAGTAAAATTGGCTAAATTTTTGGGAATCAAGCTTAGTTATCTTGTAAAATGATCTACCGAAAGATATTTAGTGATATTCATTTATTTTGAATTTGCTTAGTGATTAATGAAAGAAACAAATCAAAAATAAGTAATAAAAAGAGAATAAATTATGCTAAGTTACTGATTATTACCTTTTCGAATAGTTCCGGAAATGTATAGTGTTTTGATGCGAAACCTGCATTTTCATCAGCTTTCTGATAACTATAAACATTTTTAAGAAAAAAATATAATCCAAAATAATTAGTCTTATATAATTAGTACACTAAATTAATCTAGTTTAACAAAACTAAAGATTAAACAGATGATATCATAATGACATTTTAGGTAGCTGTTAAATATATGCAAAGGTACTGTGTCATTATGGTTGACTTATTAGTCAATTCTAAAACTTAATTCATCAGTATGTTTTTGCATTTATTTATAAATTCCAAAATTTCTAAATAAATGTATTATTGAAAACCACTTCTCATGGATTTATAACAAAATGCTTCGACGAAATAAAGTGCCAATGACAAGTTCCAGTCTGAGGAAGTTATCACGAATTCAGATTGACCCTTGTATTGACAAAATAAACCAATACAAAGAAACTTACACATATTTCATACCACTTATTGAACAACTATCCATCATTTGTCATATTAAACTACTAAACTTCTGCAAAGATATACTAGAGAGAACGGTGAACCGAGCATGGACGAAACTCAACAAGTCGCTATCAAAGACCCGAACGATTTCAGAATTTCCACAAAATCTCACAGAACGTGTTCACAACCTATCTAACTTCAGTCTTGACAAGGTTCATCTAGAAGCTCTTTCAATGGGACTAAACTACAATGTACCACCTAAAAGAATCGACAAGAATTTGGTGGACGCCAATTTCGAAAACCTCTACAGCCAGTTCTCAAATTTGACTCCAACATCAGCTGAGAATGAGGCATGGTTCAAAGTCAAATTAGTTGATATATCCCAGCAATTTGCAAACACTCCAATCAACCAAAATTCTTGTCTAACGAATGAGCACGAGGAAGCATTGAAGGAACTTAAGAACAATTCCACAATAACAATCTCCAAACCAGAAAAATGTTCTGGTGTAGTGGTCATGAATAAGGATGACGACATAACGAAAATGAACGTGATCCTCTCAGACTCTGCTAAATTTAAATCAGATTCACAGATCGATAACGTGAAGTTGGTCGAAAAACAGATATGCCGAGAACTACATCTACTCATGCTTCATGGTTTTATCACCGAGGCCCACTATAAAATGCTCAAGTCCATTGGTACATGCACACCACAAATGTATGGCTTACCGAAACTAAACAAGCCTACAACACCTATGAGACCAATTTTGTCCATGATAAATTCACCATACCATAAGCTTGCAAAGTGGCTGAAAGAAATTTTGGATCCTGCTTGTAAACAACTGTCGACACATACTTTCCTCAATTCCTTTGAACTTCTCCCAGCCTTGGAACACTTGAATATTTCTAATAGTCGGATGTGTTCTTTCGGTGTAAACTCTTTGTTCACAAATGTACCTCTCGAAGAAACTTTGGAATTTATTTGTGACTTCATAACTTCACACAACCTAAGAATCCCCATTCCGACTACCTATTCTTGTCATATTACCACATTCTACAGATACTAATGAAGTCAATGATTTATTTAATGCGATTCACCCGAATCTGAAAGTCAATTATGAGGAAGAAAAGGATAACGAACTAGCTTTCATCGATATCCTGCTCCATCGCCATCCAGACGGATCAATCAGACGAAACGTACACCGCAAACCCACCTGGTCGGGACAGTACCTCCACTTCACTAGTTTCTGCCCCATACAATATAAACGTTCTGTTGTCAAAACTTTATTCGCTCGAGCAAGTAGAATCTGCACTGTTGATACATTGAACGACAAATTCAAGCTTATTACTGAGACACTTAAATCAAACGGATATCCCGAAACGTTTGTTGATCATCAGAAAACAACTACGACGAAGCTGATAGCAACTGATGCGCCCAAGAAACCAGTGTACCTACAGTTACCTTTCAAGGGTGATCATTGCATAAAAATTACAATCAGACAGACTGCATCTGCAATAAAAAAGACCTTCAATGCAGCTAATCTGAGGCTTATCACAACAACTCAATCGATCTCAGTTACCCCAATCAAGTCTCCAAGACCGATTCAGTCCAAATCTCACTGTATTTACCAATTCACATGTAACTGAGGAGAAAGTTACTTAGGTAGGACAGATCGCCGATTGGAAGACAGGATAGGGGGACATATTGCAAAATGGTTAATCAAATCCATGCTTCATCAACCTAGCCCGTCATCTCAAAATCAGTATGTTATGCTATAATAAGCAAAACAAATCTACGTATGCATACATGTTTACCAACAAAATGTTCACAGTACTGTCTTTCTCTTAATATCAGTTAGCATACCCATGCGATGTGGAATATATTACATTACATTTTTTGAATTAAATCGACCTGTAGAATAAAACAACGAAAAATAGAACCATTTTACAAAGCTTTAATTGATAATTTAACCTTAAGACAGTGGTTGAATCATTAAATCACCAAAGAAGTGGCTTACACTAAGTCACGAAACGTCAGAAGAATCTTAACTTTTCTACTCACTGGAATGCTGCAAAATGTCCTTTTTATTAATAATTGATATGGTCTATATTATTATCAGAAAACTAGTTGGTAAGACTAAAAATACCACAGAGGTGAATAGTATGACACAACATTTGTGCTGTTTTAGCATCCTGTAAAGTTTATCAACATTTCGATTGAGCAAAATATTTCGTTATACACAGAAGATAAATGCCAATAAAAAACTTTCAAGAATACTGTCTGCATTAATGAAGTACAAAATTAAAGCTATATAATCACCTGGTTTTCTTATCCGTGATCAAATATTTAAGTGAGATTTGTTTTGAGTTTCATCATGCCTAATCGAAAATGACTTTGTTACTACTATAGCAAGCATATGTCTTCCTAACATTCTAATATAATTAAACAGACTTCATCTTTAAAAAATCTGTGATTGCCAGATTCAACTGAATTTGGAACTAGTCTGAGAGTTTAAATTTCACTTGTTGTAGTATAATAACCTCCAAGTTACCTAACGGTCTAAGTAATGATATGAATCTCTATTGTACAAATCGTTCTTCAGTCCACCAAAAAGTGGTCGTATTTTATGTATATTTATTCATTAGTCGGTATTTACTCGTCCTATCATTTTATCCATATAAACGCAACCTATTCTACTTAGTATTTTATTGCGTCCATTGTTTTAAACCTCATATATATTTAGCTTATTTTTGTCATCTCGTAAATACTACTCTACTTATTTAGTTAACTTGATATATTCCTCCTAAGATATTAGAATTAAACAGTAAATTCAAAGCCTTCTCTTATTGCTCACTTTCTACTTGGTTTTATAAATCCATGTTTCTCGCTATCTTACATGACTATCTTATTTGTTACTACTAGTGTATTAATGAAAAAATACATTAGATCTGACAACATTTCTAAGCAATGTGTTACGTTACATTATTTTAATGACTTGGCAGCTAAATATTTTCATTTTGTTCAGTGTAATCGATGGAAACGTTTTTTGTTTCAGAGTGATATTGGAAACTGAACATCGGAAATCCTGATGCGGAGACTAGATTTGCCAAGTGAGCTGAAGTCATTGCTTTTCTGATAGTGATGTTTGGTACATCAAAAAATAAGTCAATGATCAAGAAATGTTATGGACATTGTTAACATTTGAGTTCATATATTGAGGAACAGAAATATGATAGGTAACCATCATTTGTTTAGAGTGGACTTCTGTTGTTATAAACAGCACAAAAATTAAGTCGTTCATGGCCGAAAGTAATATTACAGCCAGAAGAAACTGGAAATATAAGTAGCTGTCGCAGTTTATAAAACATCATTAAACGTAACTGGACTTGATATAGAGGAAAATAAATATCTTTTATTGTTGTTTAAAAAGGCTCTAGTGAAATACTTGATGAAGCGTGTTTCATAAATGAAGTAAAGCTTTAAATGCTTGCAGTAAACAAAATGATTTGATAGTAAACTAAAAAGTACATCCCTGAATAGGCGAATGATGAAAGTAAATCGTTTGATGTTGGATACCTTCAAAGAAATATCTTGTTTATTTTCTATAAATGCAAGTAGCTAATTCAGCCAGTAAAAACAGGGTTAACTATTTCGGTATATTTAGATGACGTGAGATTTCAAGTGTACCACAAAAAGCGTAATGAAAGTGTTCTACTATGGGGGTAGTTATAGCATTCTGAACTGATAGTTAATTCCATAATTACTGGGAGCGCGAGGTAGGAAAAAGATGAAAAACAGATTAGTCATGACTATTAACACATTCCAATGGTGGTTACATTATTTAGTAGTCTCAGATAAATTGTATTTCATAAATTAAAAACTATGGTGTTATAAACCCTCAACTATAATAAATTTTAAGCTTTTTTCATAAGGACCCAAAATCCACACTATTCACGTTGTTTGAATTCCACTTCTCATTCCAGTTGTCATACTAAAAGTTTGGAACGCGCTGGACAAAACTACTATTCCAGGTAATAGTTTCACTCTGATTAAAATATTGCCGTAAAATCATGAAATTCCATATGAGAAAAAGACGCGTTTTCTGATCTTTCCTACTTCGAAACACAGACTTCTAACCAAAGTGGATCTTGCCAAGACTATTACGCACAACGTAACTATGAAAATCGGGAGTTCCAGGGCTTTGATTATAAGCATGTTTAAAACATCACACAGAATGGAACATAGAAAAGGCATTTAACAATACACTATAGATATGACATAAATGATTTTTAGCTGGAATTTTGACTTACTCCAATAATTTCAGAGCTTCACCTCTTGGTACTGCCACGTACCTATGATTCTCCATCAGCTCACAGAAACTGTGTATCTTTTTTCCCGTGTTTGGTGACACAAGACAACGGATAGCAGGAACATATTGTCCCAACTGTCTTCGTACTTGTTCCATGAATGAGCTCCATGTTAAAGCCAGTCTATGATTGATAAAGACGCGTCTTCCGGGGTTAAACATATCCCCGTTTCGATGCACTATGAAGGAAACGCCATTACGTCTCTCGGCGCAACTGCTTTTGATTCTACAAAAACAAGCCATGCATTTGCGCGCGTAAACAGGTATTGAATAAATAGTTTTTCGTAATGCCACACTACTAACCATGTGAAGGTTCAATATCTTTTTCACGAGAAAGTATAATCAGTTGATTAATGTGAGCTCGATTCTTAATGTCTCAGTACGGTCACAGACCTTTGATAAAGAACGTATAACGCCCAATCAGCTAAATTCCGCTTGAGACAACTGGAGATTCCAATATCCAATATCTTTTACACAAGCTAGTGTAAACCAATTTGATTTCTTCGCGTTCGTTTCTTGTTCTTTCGGTACTGTACTAGGTGTTCGGTAATGTCCGATGGATGGAGGTATAGTCACTCGACTGTCTAATTCTTGTCAGCTGGCAGTTGGTTGTGTGTTTGTATGTCTTGGGATTTGAATGAAACGTTTGTTTCAGGGCAGTAGGGTTTCTGGATACTAGCAGCCGTCACATTACCGAACCGGAGATCAGTTAGTTGCAATGTGGAGAGTAATAAGGTTAATAAGGATAAAATTAAAATGATAATATGAATAAAATTTCAGCAATATATAGGTCAATTTAGTTTGTTAATTGGTAGTGAGGTTTGTGAGAGAGGACTGAAGTGTAAGCAAGGGAGAGGAAACAGAGATAATAGGCGAGATAGATTAGTTGAGTGATCTGATGAGATGGCAATGGTAACAAATAGCAGGTCTCAAGATATGCATCATGAACAGCTTGTCCAAGAGGGAGATGATAGTCCGTATGTTAGTACGTGATTATCAAGTCTCTTCTTAAAGCAGCCCACTGAGGGGGCTGTAACTACCTCGGCTGGGAGAGGTTTCCAAGTTCCGACGACTCGCAATGAGAAAAAGTGTGCACGAATCTGAGTATTTGCTCTTGGATGTGCAATCTTTCGAGGATTACCTCGAGGGGAGTGGTGGTGATGCATCGGTAAGATGCTCACATTGGAATGGTTTGGCGTGTTTAATATGGTGTACGCCATAATCATATCACCTCTGATTCTCCTGTAGCTCAGTGGGAATAATCCCAAGAGCTGGAGTCTATCGTCTTAGGGTTTATTTTTCAACCCTAGCACCCATTTGGTTGCTCGTCTCTGCACTCGATCCAAGAGATTTATGTCTCTTTTAAGCAGAGGTGGTGCGATGACGTTGTGAACCTCCAAGTGTGGGCGCGCGTACGTCTTAAAGAGGGTTAAAAATAATTTCGGGGTGATAGCACCAAGCTGTCTTCGCATAAAGTGAAGAGTCGCATTTGCCTTGGCTGCATCCCCTACATAGTTTGGACTGGTGTGGAGGCTTTCTGTGGTTATTGAACCGAGATCGCGCTCTGAGGAGACATTAGGTAGCGGACTTCCATTGAGAGTATAGGTCGTTTGCGTCATATGAGGCAGGAAATGCATGACGTGGCACTCCGATTGGTCGAGCTTTAAACCGTTTTTCAGTCCCCATTTCTCAATAGATGTAAGGTCCTTTTTGATAAGTTCGTCACTTAGTATGCTTGAGGCTATTACGAGTTTACCTGAGTCAATAACGCGAACGAGACTTTTACCAGCGTCCAGGTAGGCTACCTTGAATACCCAAAGTCGAAATAAAAGGCTTTGTAAGCGTAGAAAGTATATTCTACAACACCCAGCAATCACAGTACAATCAAACATACAACTCTCGGTTATTTATACAACATAGAAACGTCCTTGAGACAGTTAAGAAAATAGCACACTAAAATACACAGCAGCCAATCACAGCCATGGATTTTCCTGGTGGGAATTGAAACATCAAGGTCATCTGATCAGCCCATGCTGGCAAAACGTGAAAACCAAAATACGGCATTATCAAGCGAATTTTGGGAATCTAACATCCCCAACACTCCTCCCCTTTTTAA